AGACGACAGGAACCCCATGAGGTTCAGGACGAAGGGGAAAGTCAGCAGTGACAGAGGCTGGAGCTCTGCGAGGAAGGCCCTGGGGACCTGGTGGGCACAGCCCGGACACACATCACGAACAGGGGCACAGCCGGGAGGTGGAGGGAAGGGGCTGTTCCCCCCAGCTCAGTGCTCTTCAGACTGCATATAGGTACTGGGTCCAGTTCAAGAAGGATGTTGATAAACCAGAGTGATAAACTGCTGCCGAAGGAGGGCAGCAAGTGAGGAAAGGGCCAGGTTGCCTCCTCCGTTCTGCCCCCTCAGACCTCGGTTGTCCATGTTCAGGGGTGATGCAGTGCTCTGAGCCATGCGACACTGGGACTGGAGAGCCAAGAGGCCTCCTCTTCTTAACCTATTTGACTCTTCACATTTTTCTTAGTTTTCCTAAAGATGTGTTCTTATCTTCGCATGCATTGTTACCTAGTTTGGTTTTTCTGTTTGTGAAAAGTTCTTTTTGTTTGTAACCATCAGTTCTGTCCTCCTTGTAAACAAGTCTGCAGCAGACCAAAGACATCTTATCTCACAAATTCAGAACCTGGAAATCAGATTTCCCCCCCCAAATCAGGTTTGTCTTACAAACCTATCAGTAATGGGAAACGTGAGTTCTTGAGTTGGTTAATGTCCTGTTTTTCCTACACATGCCCTATGAGGAATGACAGCAGCATTGCATACTCATGTTGGTTGCTATAAATCATGATGTATTTCCAACAAATCAAGAACATTTTGCTGAAGAAAACTCAGATGTCTGGTAGATTGGTCATGACGTGCACACTGATGTTATTGCCTTTTCTTCTTTGACAGCACAAGGTGTTATGTGATTCATGGACAGAAAAATTTAATTTAAAAAATGGCTGCTATCTCTTTTCTCCTGCTAAATTGTTTAAAATTTTTTTAATGAAATGCTATTCCAAAACATTTTTGATGAAATGTTTTTCACCGTGAAAGAATTATAGACAGGGACAACAATTAGTGTTTCTAAGCTGGTATAATAAAACACTGATTTTATTAATAGTCTAAGGAAAATACAGACTATTTAACTACAGGCCAAATGGATGATAACAACGTACAAATGAGAAAGAACTGTCAGATTATTTTTTATCAACTTTGACAGAATGCCAAAGTGGAGGTTGTTAAAATGGGACGCTATTGTGTATTCTATTTGTTACTGGGATGAAACTTGGGATACTGAATTTAGTCTTTTTGAAGCTAAAAGTTTTTTCCTGAATATAAGATGGGAACAATCAGAGCTTAAAATACCTCCCCAAGAAAAAGAAAAGGGTTTTAAAGCAATATTGTCTCAACCCCGCCATGTAGAAGTGGGCCACAGGAATTTTTTAGTGCACACTTTGTTCTGTGAGGAGAAGCCTGTGGGTATGCTCCTGCGTGGGCAGAGTGGGAATGGGAACTGTCAATCCTCAACCCCATTAATTTGGGACCCCATATGTTGTCCTTTTTACAAGACTAAAAAGATGGGGAAGAAATCAGGACATTAAATCTCAACTTTGTCCAGCTCTGGAGTGAAATTTTACCTTCTTACAGCATTACAAATACAAATTATTATACTCACAGGCATATGGAGAAGATGTGAAAACTCCTACAATTACTAAATGTGAACTAGTGAGAGATATCAGGCTTGTCCAAACCCAGAAATTACTACTAATCTCTACTCTTTGGCACAGTTTGCATGCTGTCTCATGGCACAAGCACCTTGGGGTATCGCCACCACGTATTTGCTGGAGGTAGGGGAATGCCCTGAATAGGTGCCCAAACAAGTGCTCTGCACATGGCACTTTGGAAGGTGTATTATGCTCTATTATTAATGTTAGCATGTTGCAGCTGGCTGATTATTAGCTCTGGTCTGCCGCTGATGAATCCAAGGCAGTGCACAGGGAGATGCCCTTTTCCTAGGGATTTGGCAGGTTATTTGACCCAATCTTTAAGACAGAAATAATATGCAAAATTGTCTCAGCCTTAGGGTGGTTCTGAGGAGTTTGCTTTCCTTTTGTTGCCTTAAAGCAAAAAGGTGATGTATAAAATTTCGCCAGGCAGCTTATTTCTACTAGGAGGCGCTCTTTGACCTGGGATTGGATGGGCTTCTCCACCGGCTTTCAGCTATATCCTCAGTTTGTGTTATCTTCATAGGGCTGTGCGTGGTTTAGCTTAAAACACCTCACAGCCCAGGGAATCACGGCGCGCCTGGGACTCAGATGCTGAGGCCATTCCCTCTTCCCAATTTAGGAAAGTCCTGTTTGTCAGGGTTCCAAATTTATAGATAATTTGGTGGCTCATCTCTGTTGTTTGCAGCAGTAAGTGCAAGAGGCAAAGGCATTCTGTAAATTTAAGATCGATGTGTTAGACCAGTAAGCAGAATGAAGTCCACTAATGAATTATTCAATATTCCATGCAAAAGTTCCTGTACCGAGGTGGGTTTTTTTCAGCTTAAAGGATACTTACCGCATACATACTAGATTTATGTAATCTGCAAAAGCTTTTTTTCTTCTTTGTGTATGTGGGACAAATGCTTGCAGTTGTCCCATTCTCAGTGAGATTCCTGCATGTGCTTTTTGCTGGCTTTGAGCCTCAGTGTGAAAAATGTCTAGACCATTTCCAAATTCAAGAAGTATTTGTAGCTGCAGTTTATGGTTTATCCACCATCCAGTTAGATTTATTTGAGATTATTTGGTTTTGTACAATTCACACTCAGTATTTTTTATTGCTGCATTGCGTTTCTTGTGGTGTGTAAACCAATGGATTGTAGTTTCTGGAAGGCTGTGCAGTGATCTGAAAGGTGCTGCTAGTCCAACAAGGCCAAAGACTGGAAGAGCTTAGCAGAGGGTGCCTTTATTTCCACACCCTGTTAGACCTCTGCATTCTTGCTCCTGGCCACACTACAGAGTGGGGTTAGCTACCTCCATCTGGTTTCATTATCCGCCTCCTTCCTCCAATGTCCTCAGCCCCACTTCCCTGCAGAGAGAGACTAGGAGGACAGTAAAGGCTCTTTTATTGACAGGTCAGAGCACAGCTCAGTTTTGCAGTCCTACATAGTGGCTGTCCCATGGAGTCCCTCACTTTGGCAGAGACTGTAGCGGCATGCCCTCAGGAGCACTGATTTGTGGTGGCCCTTTCACTCTGGAAGAAAAGAAGGCACTTTGGGCTGATGGACAGGAGAGCAGAAAGCCTGACAGCCCCAATCCCCACTGGGCTGTCCCTTCATCCGCTGCCACCCACAGATGGGGAATTACAGGCGGCAGAGAGGGACGTCCCCCGCCTCTCTCAGCAGACTCCATGTGCAGGGCGGGATGGAGCTGACTCACTGTGCCTTCTCGATGTCCTCGATGCCCTCAGGCAGGCGCACGTTGAGTGTCTCCGGGAGCAGGAAGGCCACCGAGCCGCAGCACACTGCTACACCACAGTATGTCACCTCAGGCAGAGACCTCCACACCTCATCCAGCAGAAAGACAAGTGGGGCCAAAGCCCCGCCGAGGCGTGCCACGAAGGAGGTGTACCCCATTCCATTCTGCCTGGAAAGGTAGGGCACCATGGTGGTGCAGACCACCATGAGAAAGAGATGGGTACTTCTTTCATATCAGACCTTGGGAAAAAGTGCAGACCCTCTCCCCCTTTCCCCTATTTTTCTGTAAGTGCTGAGGCTTTCCCCCCCTCAAGTTTTTCCACTGCCAGGTTTTTTCTAGTTTATTTTTTTCTTTCTTCCTGTCTTCCTACAATGATAATATTTCCCAGAGAGCAACCGTAGCTGCTGTGAGATATAGATTTATGTCCATTATGAGAAAGAAGCTGCAGTTCCACACTAAAAATATCTGCTCTAAAGTTGTTTCCACTTTAAATGTCTAAAACCCCGAGTGCATTTTCTACCCATCCCGTAGTAAGTCCTCCAATCTGCTGAGAGCAAACCTAAGTCCCTCCTTCTCCCAGGTACTTCTAGGCAGGTGGCATGCACTAGAGATACCTGTGAGCCCCTTTGGTCCTGCTGTAGCTATAAGCCCAGGAAAGCTTGGAGACAAGGCCAAAAATAAGACCTTGGACATATTCCACTTACTAATTTTCAGGGGATGGGTGGCATTTCACACTGACAACAAGGATTCCAAGACCTACTTGTGCATATGCAGAGTAAGTACTGCAGAAGGAACCAACATTTTTGTCTTTATCTGTCAATGTCTTTGAGCATGTAAAAATACAAACCAATCTGAGAAGAAAAGTAGCAGATCAGTGTGCCCACTTCGGTTTAAATATGCATCATTCCCCACATGCAACAGACCAGTGAAAGTTAAAGGACTAAATGACAGAGAAGGGTACTCTGGGCAGGGAGGGACAGAGGTGAAGTAAGCCACAAGGCCTGCTGTGATCCGTGAGGTTTTTTTCAGAATTTCACAAAGCAACCAGTGAGGAGATTCCCTCCACCAGTCTCAGCTATATCCCAAACTATGCTGATGCTAAATCTGGTTTTATGTCACCCAGATATTTCAAATAAGCTCTCTTTTTCCTCCTGAAACGCTAGGTAATCCCTGATTTAATATCATTTGATGTCCAGAAAACTGTCAAACGTGTGGTAGTGTGTGTCCCTTATAAAACTTGGTATTTCAAATTATTATTTTTGGGGTCTTTTAACAGTTATTGGCAGATTGTCACAGGGAACTAAGACTTTACTAAGCACAGATGCCTTACGGAGTTCAAAAATTTTCTCATGCAGAATACTCCTCACCTTTCGATACGTCTCCCTATCGACATAATGTAACCACACATAACCCAGGTAAAAAAAGGGTAGCTTTCTGCTCCTTTCTTGTGAGTATGTGTAATCCCTAGAACCTGCTACTTCTAGAGGCAAAGCATCAGTTCTGCAGTCTAGCCAACAGCATGTCCTGCTGTGCTGATGTCGAAGACCTGAGGGCGACATCCCACCGAGGCTCTGGTTGTGTGCTCAGGCGAGTGGCTTCTCTTACCTCAGTACGGTGGGGTAGAGCTCAGAGGTGTACAAGAAGACAGTAGTGAATGCAGCTTCTGAGAAACCTTTGCCCATAATGGCTACTACAGAGCGCAAGGAAGTGAAGGCTAGGAGGAAAAAAAAGACATTTATGACAATGAGCAAGTCAAAGAGCAGCCTCTAGGAAGAAGCTTCTTGTGGCCTCAGGTACAAGGAAGGAAGAAGGTTCAATGCTCCTACAGACAAAACGGGGAGCTTCATAGCCCTGGAACTGCTGTCTTCAAAGTCTGGATTGGTAAGTTTAGTAACTACTAGCCCGAGTGGGAGCTGAACTGATGAAAGGATAGGTCCTGACATTTCCCACTGGACAATGTCTGTAATAAAGATAGGCACTTCACCTTGCCATCACTGGACCCTTACTAGCCACTTCCCAGTGATTGGAGACCATCTGTTGCCACCAGATATTAGGGCTAGCCCACATTAGCAACCTTGTCCCACAGATGTCCTTTAGGTGGAGGACATCTCTATACAGAATTGCCTGTGGACAAGATCTACGGTTCTCCTCTAGCACTGCACAGAATGGAAACCTCCCCTTTAGCAAGTACTGCATATAGCAGAAGAAAAGCTCCTATGCATAGTCCGGTCAGGATGAGTGCCCACGCCTGACTCTGCCGTCGTCCAGCTCGATTCACCACCACGTACATGATTATCTTGGCTGGAATCTCAATGACACCAAAGACAAACTGGGAGAGATACATGTTGAGTCCAAAGCCAGTTAGGTTCATGCTCATGCCATAGTAAGAGAAGGCAACACCAAACCTGCAAGGAGTGTGTGGAGATGGGGATTAGGGAAATCAAGCCGGGGAACTGCAGGACAAATCCCCCGTGTGAAGTGACACTGCTTACCACACAGTCCCAGAACACAGAGAGATCTTCCGCAGGACTGGTGTCCTGAACAGGCTGATGTAGGAGTAACTCCCTCCTGGCTTTTTCTCTGTTGCCATCCTTCTGAGGGCCTGGGAGAGGTGGAAAGAAGGAAATAGCTCAGCTGCTGTACTTTTAGGATCCAGACATGAAACCCTAGACAGGCTGGGGCCTTTGCCCTTCCCAGCTCCAGCTCCACCGTGGATTTTCCATACGTTCCCACTGCAGAACAATTCTCTGGGCATATGTTGTCAGAGGCATGTCTTCCTACAACTTTATAGATTGCCTACCGTTTTAGACCTCTTTTTCTTCCCATGGTCCCTTCTTCTCTCTTACCTACATGTGGCAGGAAGGGTTGCAGATCATGGTGTTGGCAAAGTCAGTGTTGGCCAGTTCCACCCTCTTCCCCATGAGGTTGCCTGCCGTTGTGTCAGGTCTCAGACAGGATCTAACAGTGAGCTGCATGCTTTATTCTCATGAGTGCATTTATATAAAGTGTGATTATTTATACATCTGTTTATATAAATACAGAATGCATAAAAAGGTCAGGCACTGAGAAGTGGGCCCTGCCCATAAGGAAGAAGAGAGTGCTTATTCACCAAGTCTTTTAGCAATTGATTGAGGGGTAAGTACCAGGAGAGTTGGTAAGTTCTACTCACTGGCTGAGATGCAAGAGATTCACACAACTACAGGTCTGCAATGCAGCTATACCTAAGCTAGTTGCCATAGGCTCACTGTGTAGTTAATGGACATCTCCAATGGAAGTGATGGAGTCATTTTATTCTAGAGCAAACAACTGCATTTGGTCAGAAGAATCATGTGCTAGCCTCCCTTGGCTATTCATTAGATTGCAGACTGTAAAGGAGACTGCAGACAGTGATGATGTGGACACCTAATGTTGGGAGAGAGTAATTCCTCTCAGGACAGCCTTGCTTCACCATGTCCAAAAATCATGAGCAAATGCAGGGTAGGACAGTTAAAATTGATTAGGTTATGAATCACAGGAAAACTTGAGGAGAGAGTCTGGTTAACTAGTTACATGTATTCGCAAATCAATATCCTCTTCAGAGAAAGCAAAGCCTCGGCCAAAGCTTTTGCATAAATACTTAATCCCAGCCACAGAGCTGCATAGGGAACCTACAACTTAGATGGACGAAAAGGGCATGCAGCATCTTGGACCAGAGGATCATCTTCTCCAGTGCCTTGTCTCCAAAGCATCCTGCAATGGAGCCTACAGAAGAGCCAGGCAAGCATACAGAGATACTCCCCTAGAAATGTCACCGCCTCCAGCTGTTCAGGGACTTTCTGAACCAGACAGGGTGTCTTGTCTGTTTAGCACCTTGATGATCCTTTCCCACATTATCTAGTGGTTTGTGGAACCCATGTTTTTCTTTTATTTCTGTACACCCATCTCTGGATCTGGTAACTTTTGTTAATACTGCAGTATGGCAAGTAAGTTATTTTTTAAAAATTTTACCTTTTTTTTTTTTACTTTTTTCACAGACAAATAATAAGTCTTTTCATCCAAATGCATAGGATGAATCATAGCACTGATAACAGATTACTTCTGCAATGCTGAGAATTTCAATATTAGATTCAAGTTACCCTGATGGCAGTCTGTCCTCTCTTTAAGTTGCATGACTTGCTATTAAAATGGGGAACGTAAGACATTAACATGGTAAACGTCTTCCAGTATGTATTGTTAGCCAGATTTCTTGGCATGTGGAAGGACAACTGGGAGAGCAAGAACAGCGAGAACCCCAAGAAACTTAAAATGCACATAATTCAGTGATGGCTGGGGAGGGAGGAGGGTGAGGGAATCTGTAGGCCTACAGCATCACCTACAATTAAGACGGTGCTGAACGGTTACGGGGGCTGGGGATTTGTGGAAATATCTAATAAAAGAGAAATCCCAGCCCAAAGAGCTCTCTGGTTAAAAGAATTGTACAAAATGAAAGAAAGCGTTAGGAAAGGGAAGAGGGTAGCTATAAGTAACAGCACGTTTCACTAGGGAAGAGCTAAGATTTTATTTCTAATTGCATACTATCCTTTGCAGTTTTTGGATGGTGACAAAGCTTTTCATACTGAAAAAAGAATTTCACACTGGGAAATTCCTTAATCAGTTCTATAAGACAATGCTATTAAACCTGAGAGTACGTCAGTGCTGTGCAATTATCTGGACATTATACGTTTTTCAGAGTTCAGTCTTCTGAACTAAGGAAAATCAGCTGTTACCTTAATAAGCTATCAAAACACACTGATGCATGGTCAAGTCAATTAAGCAAACTAGAATCAGCTAGTTCTGTGTTGCCTGCATGTTTGGATATGGACAGAAAAAACAAGTATGTCCCTATAAACCTCATGAATCCAGCAAGGTGTCACAACTGCAAGCCTTTCTTGATTGTGGTCCAGTGGTCCACAGTATGGTGTGTGATAGATATCACAGCAAGGCTGTGATAGTGGGGAAGCCCCAGCTACATTTCCTAACCTTAAGAATGGTATGAGGGTGCAAGGCCATGCCCTTCCTGGTGAAAAACTGCACTCTGAAATACAGAGTCATCAGCTAAGGCTGAATGAAAGTTATAACTTGTTATTTTTACATATTTAGTCAGAGCTACTGGCTTGATTAAAGGCAAGGAAGAGTCGCACTCAACTCCTGTCTGCCACAACCAGTAAATTCATAATTTCTTACATGATTAAACAACATGTTTCTGTTGTAAATCGAAAGGACTAATCACCTCTTCAACAGATACTAGGAAACTGCTTTTAAAAAATGGCATGCTGGCCAGGATAAGACAGTGGTGTGGTTGCAGGAGCATTGGATGCACACAGAGATGCAGCTGGACCGTGACAGCAAAGCACAAGGCTCCTGTGCTGGTGCAAGGGGTTTCCCATCTTCCTCTTTTGGTAAGAGGAAAACCAATGGACATTAAAGGAAAGATTGATGTTTAACAAACCACAAATTTCCATACCCACTGGATTTCACAGCTGAGCTTTGATGCTCTTAAGAAGGTCGAGACAAATCATGTGGACCAAATTAGACAGAGGTAACGGATGTGCAGCCATCCAAGCCTGACTGTGAAGGGTTGTTGTGAGCACTGACTATGCTCTAGTGTCTTTCCAAAGGGAGAGACCAGATTCTGCCTGGCCCTTGAGTCCTCCCTATAGCTGGGACATCACTTGAGCTTATCACAATACCCTGGAGCCACCAGCATGTCCTTAAGTAAACGTCATGGACCAAGGTCTCAACATTTGTGAATCTGAATGCAAAAATACATTTTTAAGATAGAACTCAGCACAAGATTAAGATCTCCAGATCAGCCTCATGCCTTGAGCTTTGGAGTTGAAAATAGGTGGCTTTTTTTGGGGGTTCTCCTTCCACTTTATTTGTTCAGTCATCTCGCTGAGCATTTTCACTCCATCCTTTACACCTCTGGGGTCGAGCAAACCAGTGGGTACATGCCTACTTTGCGCAACATCTCACCCTTGCTACATTCCTTTAAAACTGCTGGCAGAGCCATGACACACTTGAGAGCAGAGCTTTAGCCCAGGAGGAAAAGCTGATTATGCCAAATGTTCTTTACACCCACATTCACTACTGGGGCACTATGGCTGACTATCTTCCAGTTTCACATGTACACTAAATGCAGCCTGAGGTGGACTAGCCTCTACGTTTTTGGGTACACTACATGCAGTATCTCAAGTGCAATATGAGAGAACATATGCTAACTATATGCTATTAATGTGTCTGCTTTCTGCTAGCACTGTACCAACACTTGGCAAACACTTCGGCAACCAAGAAGTCAAACACTAAGCTGCACAAATGGCTCATGCACCTGCACACTCTCCTCTCTATTATGGGAGTGATGCCTCTGCCTTATTTTTTAGGCTGTGCTTCTCTCTTGCTGCGTATTTAGTCCAGTGTCCAGTGCAGTGAGGCTTCTTGTCATGGCAATAATGAATGGAAAGACACTCCACCTAATGAAGGGGATTTCTGGCCTTAGGGGAGTTGAGCTGCTGCTTTATCTTTAGGAGTGGATGTAACTGCTTTCTAGAGTAAAATGGAGCATGACACCCTGTGGACCACAGTGCCCCACAGATCACACTGCAGGTTGAACATTGCTTCAGGTATCAAATAGAAGTAAAATATATAGAGAGAAAATGGGAGAGGAAGAACATGTGTCTGGATCTTCAGTTTCTCACCTCTGGTGAGACAGCGAAGTCTTTCCTTCCGTTCATCCTTGCACATCTAAGCACATGCCTGTGAGCTTGTTTCACTTTGCCATTGGCTATCAGCCACCGGGCAGACTCTGGAACCCACCTGGTGCGAGGAGAGAAGACAGCGTTCCTGTTGGCGCTCCGTGTTTTCCACCCCACATACATGGCTCTAGCCAAAGAGAAGGGGTCTTCTCTATGAGACTTCAACCTCAGCTAAAAATAGCAACTGTGGTTCATGAGAATAAGAGTAATGGGACACCCGTGTTACATGTACATGCTGTTCTATCCTTAAAGGAGTACAGTCTGCTAATTGAAGTATGTCTAGCCAAAATTTTTATCATGTTATCTTTGATCAAAGCTTGAATTTTCTGAGCTGGTTGAAGTTTCAAACTCTTATCAATTAAAATTGGCCCCAGAGAGTTTATATTTACAGATTAATGCTTTTTGGGACTCTCTAAACATCAAAATTTTAGGATATAAAAAATTGCTATGTAGAAAGGATTTAGTGGGCTCTGTACTTACTTTGTTAATTGCTAAAATTATGTTTTTCACAATAATCAAAGCCTTCTGCACAAGACAGTCAACTGGGGTCTAAATCATTGTGGCTGCGGTCCCCAGTGAAGTATCCACCCTAGTCACTGAGTGACAAGGAATGTTGTACTGCTGTAGAGCTAATTAGCAGCCCTGAGAGGTCTGCTTAGCAGACCTGTGTAGGGTGGGAGTCCTGTGACTCTTATTTTTCTGTCTGTTCCAGCAAAAGATCCAGCACTTGTCATAAACTAGCATCTGCAACTCCCTCTTCTTGGACTTCTCTCTGATCTTGCATCTGGTTGCAATTCATGGCTACATGGCCCTGTTTGGCCCGGAACTTCCCAGGCCACAGTGAAGCCCATCTGGCCTAGAGGGTACATGGTATTTTGTGGGTCCGCATAGCTGTCAGGGTCCAGAAGACATTGGAAATATGCCACAGTGGCTACATTCTGCTAGAGCAGCCAACACCTACCTCCTGCTACCCAAACCTGTCCCTGAGAGAAGTAGAAAACAGAATCTGCTGTTCTCACGGAGACTTCAGCTGAGCATCCTGAGCAGTCAGTGGGAAGACTTACAACCTTGAAGAAGTATGTGGGTATGAGGTCTACTGGGGTCACACAGTTGTCAAAATTTCTCACTGGAGTCTCCCTCTGGAGCGGTCCGAGACCAGTTCCCTGTAAGCTGTTGGTAATTAATGTGCCCTAAATCAGATTACAAAAAGCTGATGAACAACTGCTGTCACTATTCAAGCAGTAGCTGAAAAGGATGTGTAGAGCAAAAACATTTGCCGAACTGGTCTTCTGGAAAGTTTTCAACTCCTTCCCATAAGCTTATAACCCAATGCACCTTGGGAAATATAAAGAGTGAAAGATGGCATTTTGCACTCATTGCCATCATTTCCAGAGTATAATATTATGTCTGTTGGTTGTTTAATGTGTCAACTGAGTTCTGACATTGTATCAACAATATCTACAGAGTGTGCTAAATTAGATTTTGATTCCATACTTCAGGGACTTTTAATTATCCAACAATCACTGACCTCTTGCATGCTTGAATTTTGATCAGACTACAGCATAATTTGTTGGGGAACTAATCTTCATAAAAGGCATTAACATAAGAGAAAAAAAATCAGCTATCATGGAAAAGGTGGGTCCAAATATATCTGTGAATTTCAGTACTTCCCAGGACTCAGTTTTTTATGGCTGGTTGTCCTAGAGAAAGAGCAAACCAACTCAAACTAAAAAAGTCAGCAGAACACGTATTTTAGTTGTGTCGGACTTGATCAGTGAAATATCAGATGTTACTCTTTGCCAGAAAACCCTTATCACCGGAGAAACAATACCTCTCTTTTGAGCCATTGATTAACAGCATCAGTTTATATCCCATTTTTCGTAAGTATTATTTGAGATTTTTCTTCTAGATCTGTGCAGCTATTTAATCTACTGCTTCATGCTGATGGACAGACATAATAAAAAAGCAAATCATGGTCACTAGAAGCTTCTTTGATGGCAGCTGAAAGGCACTTTAGCATTTGGATATCACTCTTTCTGCTCAGCGACTATGCATATAATTTTGCGGCCCACGTGTCTTGTCTTAACAATCAGAGCTTATTCTTGTGGGTTTCCAGCTAGAGCTCCCCATCGCCCTGAGAGACACGTCTGTGATTTCTCCATTGTGGTCCAGGACCACACCGATGTCCAAAAGGAACTAAACAACCACTATAAGGTGGAGGAGACCCAGACCCCCATTTCTGAATATTTTCAATGGGGCAGTTGTGGGAATACCTGCTTGCTTATTTCCTCACGGAACTTTTGTCCAGCCAGGAAATGGAGCTGCTTATTCAAAGGACTGTTTTGGATCATCAAATAAGTTGATCCAATACACTTCATATTACAGTCACAGTAGCAGTGAATCAACCCTGTATTCTAGTCTGTGTTACTACATGAAAAAAAGAAGGAAAATTGGTTTCTTTGATTAAATGAACCATCTCCTATTTTAAGGCTTAAGAGATGTCAGGTATTTCTTAAATAAGGCTACAGGAGGGAAATAGCCCATAGAAAGCAGATGTATTTGACCCATCAGGATGTTTGCACAGCTGAGAAAGGCCATGGGAAGTAGAGATATAAATGCACCTGACCTAGCCTGCAGATGTCATTGGCTTATATCAAAAAATTGGTACCAGAGGCATCCTCCCCAATGAGGTGGGGACAGAGGATGGAAAAATTATTTATCTTGAGTCTACTAAGGATTAAAGCCAAGGATCTGGCCTGGTCCTGTCTCCCTTCATTGGGATCTCTTTGCTTGCTCTGAACCGCGTCTGACAGTGCTTGCAGCACCAAATCCTGCTCCTTTGCACTGCAATCTGTCCCCCAAATGCCTGGCCTCAGCCCCAGTCCTGCCTCTATCTTGTCCCCAAAGCCGTGGTGCAACCTTGGCTCCTGGCCTTGTCGGAGGTGAGGAGAGATGAAACCTACGCCACTCAAGTTTTAAAGAGGTGTCACGCCTGGGCGAGCCAAGTGCAGGGCACTGATGAGCCCTGCTCCTCTTTAGGTTGCTGGAGCCAATCCTAGGATCAGCGTTGCAACATTTGCCACGTTCACAGAGCAGAAGAGGCGAATGACAGCCCACTTCCATCCCCACCAGCTGTCCTGTATCCCCATCCCCACCAGGCTGCAGGCTGCACTCACCACAGGCAGACAACGCTCAGAAGACAAGGTCCTGTTACGGCTACTAATAGCCAGTGCCATTCCCGCACCAAGTACGCTACCATGGCCAGCAGCATGTTCCCGATGCTCCAGAAGATGCTAGTCAGGATCCCGGAGAAGGTACGGTGCTGTATGTCCACCCACTCCATCCCTGCAAGAGTGAGGCAGTGTTCAGCTGGGACGCACAGGACTTCTCCAGGAAGGGGTCTGCAGGGCTTTTTAATAAAGGCAAAGTGAGGTAACGTCCCTGGTCTTCTCCTCCGGGAGAGTTCCACTGTTTGGCCAACATCTGGCACATTTAAAACGTTCATCCACAATGCTTAACCTCTTGCAAAGCTGTAAGCAACTAAAATAAAGCCTTGAAATAAGAAAGACTGGACATATAGTAAGAAACGGTGCTAAAAACACCTGAGGTGATACTTTTTTTTTATCCCATTCAATAGCATTCAAATGGTCTTCTTCGTCAAACAGGTAGGTTTTTTTCCCCTAACCATCTTGCCTGCACAGTTTCCCATTTTTCTGCCCACTCATTATTCCAGATGAAAGAAATATGTTAAAATGAATTGTTGTTCATGTGGAATCTACCCAAAGTAGATACCAATACACATGTAAAGTCAGAATGGATGGTGGTCTCCTTGTTTGTGTGTGTGAACTAAAAGCCAATTTTCCTCCAAAGATCTGGACATCTTGCTACAACCTCTAACAATCAGAAATGTCCCTCCCAAGCTCTACTTTGCCTTGCAGGCATCAACCTTTATAACAATAAAAAAACATAGCAGGCCTTGGGATTTGTCAGGTCTTGTGTGGACTTTTCCAGTATTGAACCCATTTTAGCTTGATTTTGGCTGTATCTGCGAAAATCCTGGAAATTTTTGCTGCACCTGTAACTTGCTCGTGGGTACAATGAGTCTTCCCTAGTACGTCCCAACTGTATCTACAAAATGATCCAGTGCTCTGTTGGGTACCCTGAAGTTTGGAGCTTGTTTTTGTTGTATAATTACCTAAATTCTTCAACTTCAGTTTTGCCTAGCTCTGTATGATTTTTTTTTTGTGGTTCTTTCCCCCCACTCTTTCTAAAAATACAGATTGGGAACTTAAGAAAACGGTGAGCAAACTCAAGACTGGGGAGGTAGAAATACCTCGCGAATGACACACCGTCCTCTTCCTCCTGAGGACACGGCAACGCTGATGAACTGTCTTAACAGTGTGTTTGAAGGGTGAGAACTCAGTATCAGAGGAAAGGGGCAGATACTTTGGTCTATGGCTTTTACTGTACTTCTGATGATCCTTAACAGGAATTGGGTAGCATGGATTGCAAATGTTAATGTTGCAACAGAAGTACTAATAAGTGGTTTTTATATTTTAAGTAGACTGTTAAAGCATTAATTAGACTAACAGAAAATTGTAATTCTTGGACCCTCCCAAGAGGGATGTTCTTTTGGCTGCCTGTAGTGAAGTTGCACACTTAACGATTTCCAAACTCCTGTTCCTACTGGCTCTGCCCTGTCTGATAGACAAGTCCCTACCTACCCACTGCCTGTCAGAAGTCCCCCTGTACAACCGGGCACCCACAAACCCCCACATACTTACCCAAAGGCAATACAATAAGGGAGACGCCGCTCAGGGCCACCCCTGTGAGGGTCCGCGTGATGGCCAGCATGCTGTAGGAGACGGAAGCAGCGCTCAGCATCCCAAATATGACAGAGCACACAAGCGACAGCAGGAGCATGGCTTTTCGTCCGAACCTGCCACAAGCACAGGCTGGGTTACAGCGGCTAGAAACCTGTCCCAGGAGGAGAGTTTGAAATGGGGCAAGCCAGAGACTTGAGAGGGAAAATGAAAATATTGCCCGCTCTGCAAAGAGCGCAAGATGCAATGCCCCAGAAAGGAGGAAACAGCTCTGGACATAGCTGGTGCCACAGTGGTGCAGTCCCATTTAGAGGGCCAGCCTGCCCCAGAGCATCGGGCACGAGGCTCTCCAATGGAAAGAGCAGCACTGATCAAAACAATATATCGGGCTCCCCTGTTCAACACCATCATGAAAAGCAGCGATGTCAGCTTGAAATCCCATGCTGCTGGCACACCCTGCTCCCTCCAATGGCTGTCCCCATGCCTGGCTCATCATGTCTTCCTCCTGTGGCTCACTCAGGACCAGCCACTGCCACCACTCTTGAGAAGGAGAGAGAACCGTGACACTTTCACCCCGATCCTTGGAAGGAAAACAAAGATCCCAAAGGAAAATAAAAAGAATCTAATTGTCAGCCCACATGTCCAAATAGCCCTGATGTCCTAAGGGGTCTGTGAAGAATCTGCTAGGAGGTCATTCCCCAAGGGTTTTGGAAGTTGTAGGACCATCTTACCCCTGGTACAGAGTCCTGTGTGGAGAGTGTGGAGAAATACAGAAAATCAAATACACACAAATGCACATGTATACATGCACACAAAGAAATATGTGTATGTATTTCTATACAACCTATGAAAATCTAAAAATCAAAATGGAGCACAAGGCATCAGTCTTCTGATGAACATCAGCACTGCATGTGCCGAAAGCTTAGGTTCAAACTGGAGTAGTAAATGAACCCTATCAGTAAGTAATGTTCAGTCTATAGGGACTAAAATCCTGCTCTGATTCTGGCATTAAGGTTCTCTTAGTGGCCACCTGAGAAGGATGGTGGCAAGAACGATTACTCCAGAGCAAAAAGTGATGTGCTGGGACGTAATGCCACAATAGGATTCCTAAAAATTATCATAAATGACTTTATGCAGCTGCTAGCTATGAATCTAGTGGAGAAAAAACAACCTGTGGCTTGGGGCCAGGCAGTTTGCTGGATCTGCTTTGAAATTTAAGCAGAGCCAGTTTGCAAAAGTCATTGTAATGCCCCTGGGTCAGAGCAGCAAACACCCAGAAACACACCAGAGCTGGATTCGGTTTCCAATAGGGTAACTACCTAAGAAAGAAGATACATTTTTTTAAATTAAGATTTTTCTTGAAAATACAGTAAGAAGGATATAAAACCGTAAGATTCCCTGCAGGGAGCAAGGCATCTATTTATGGACCCATTACTAGACTCTCTCAGCGAATGCATGCCACCTGCTAGGGAAACCAGAGGCGAGCTGGCAGGATTGAACTGCAGGCTACAGGGAGGCTGCTAGAAATAATGCTGTTAAAATTGTCTTCAAAGGGAGAGGTAGGAAAGCACAACCTCTGAAAGATTAAATATAGAAAATATAATAAAAGGAGCAAACTGCACAAGCATAAATATATAAAAAAAGCCATTTTCATGAATAACCCAATCTGGAAATCTGCCAAAGCATCAATTCAGTACAAGGACAAGGTACAAAAGGAGTGTTTGGAAAAGCGCAGACAATAACAGAAACAATTTTTTTTTTTTTTTTTTTGCATATATATGTTCACAGTGAAGGTTGTCGGAGGGTTTACCAGGGTAAAATTTGTCAGTACAGATGTTCTCAAATCCAAATGTCTGTAGAGGCTTAGAACAAAATGAACCTGAAGTGTAGGAAAATGCCAGGACCAGATGGTTTTCACCCTGGAGTACTAGAGATGAAATCTCTGCATTACTGTTAGCACAAAGAAGTGGGACCTCTTCTCTGTTAGAGAAAAGGAAGGTTGCTAATGGGACGTCAGCTTTTAAGGGGTCTTAGGGGAGATTGGGGGCATGACACCTGAGGTTTAACAGATCTGCCAAATTTACTGCAAATTTACTGGATGCACTGCCTCCACTGTGATTACATGGGCTGCAAGCCTTTCCTGACGGGTGCCATGGCCGGGTAGCTCAGTTGGGCAGTGCACAGTCAGCTCTGCTCCAGGCTGCTCACGAGGGCACAGCTGGCTGTCAACCCCTCATCAGCTGCCACTTTAGCAGACTGAAGGGTCCTGGTCTGGCTAACTGGAAGTCAAGCCATACCTTGGTCTTTTTTGTAAGCTTTTCCGAATTTTCTCCATTTCTTCTGTATCCTTTTAAGATGGGGAAGGAGGGTGAAGGGAAGTCAAAGCTGCACACAGTATTCAAGATGTGGGGCTACATGCATTTACATGTTACTGCATAGTGATATTCTCTTTAATTTTATATTCCTTTCCTAATGATTCTTAATTTTCTACTTGTTTCCCCAGCCACTACTCATTGCTGAGTGGATGTTTGCCTAGAGCTGCCTGTTGTAACCCCAAAGTCTTGCTCCTGAGCAGCTATGGTCAGCTCAAAGGCCTCAATTTTAAATGAGAAGTTGGAATTGTTTCTCTCTTTATTTTAGATTAATCTACCCTGAAATTTTGTCTTCTGATGCTCCCATTCAGTCACAGAGCTCTTTAAGCTCCTTCTGCAGTTCTCCACATTCAGATCTCACCTCTACCAGCCTGGTCACTCAGCATCACCTCCCCACTCGCTCCTTTTCCAGGTAATTTATAAATGTGCTGAAAAGCGCACAAATCCAAGCACAGGTCCCCACAGGTCTCCCTCCAACTGGACACTTACATCTCCCCCCTCCTTCCTGGCTTTTGATGAATTATTTAGTCATGCAGAGACCTTCCTTCTTATCCTAGGGCAGCTCAGTTTCTTTAGGAGCCTTTGGTAAGGAAACTTCTTGAAATCCATGTAGATGGTATCTTGCCTGTTCACATGCCTGTTAGCGCATTCAAAGAAATCCAGTATGTTTGTAAGGCATGAATCTTTTGCAAAAACCCCGCTGATTCTTCACTAGTGTGTCATATCTACCCATGGCGGCCACTGCCTCGATCTTTCAGAATAGTTTCTACGAATTTGCCTGGTACAGACAGATGTCAGGCTGCCTCGAACATAGTTCCCAAGATCTTTTTTGGAAACCAGTTTAAAACTGATTTGATACATGATACCTTCCCAGCCCTCTGCTGTGAAGGTCACACAATGCCAACAGTGTTCCAGCATTTTCATCCCAAAGGTCCTGTAGGGCTCTTGGGTGACCACTCCCTGCTTCTGGCCATTTACTGGCATTCACCTGGTGTATTTCTCTATGCCTTCTTCTGTCAGCTTATTTCAAAGCTCCAGCTCCAACACCTGTCCCTACATGTTCTCCCACTGTGAGCACAAACTCGTTTATGTTTCATACTACACCCTTTTTATTTCCAGATGCTCTTTTTACACCTTGATCTTCTACTGGCTCTTCCCCCTCACAATCCATTTGAAAAACAAATTATTTTTCACTTTGCTCTAGCAGAGACCTTCTCTTCTGCCTTATTTTGTCCTGCTCCTTTTCGTGATTCTGAATTTCTTTCCCTCCAACTGTGCTATAAAACCATTTTAGATACAAAGCCAAGACACACAGTCTGAAGATCAGCCAGGTGTCTTGGGTCCTTGTAAAAGTATACTGGTATACTCATATGCAAAGATATGGATGTAAAAATTCCCATCTTCAGCACTAAGTCTCTGGGTGTGAAGCTGGTTTCCTCTGCTATGCAGTGATTTTGTAGCTTGCTGTACACTAATGCTTGTTTGCTCCCAGAGGAAGGAAATCGGGAAGCAGTTTGCTGCGCAGGAAACTCAGACATTAAATAATGAATAGCGTACAGTGAGTAGCACATCCTGATTGCAGTGCCTGCACTTCGTATTCTCTGGTAGGTTTCCTGGTTCTGCTGTTTGCAAAAATATTTAATTTCTTAAATGATGCCCTTTCTAGGTTATTACTCAGATTTTTTTCTGGTTTACATTATCACATTCTAACATTTAACCAGAGAGAGCAGATTTGTTCCTGTTTTCGTGATTGCCTCAGCTCTTCCTCGAGGAATGTCTCCCCGCTTCTAATAACCTCCTTTACCCTGCTTCTCAAGTAATGACAGAGTCAGTTTTTGCTTTCTGGAGACTCTTTGTTTTCAGCTATGGCATACATTTGCTCTGAGCCCCTCACTTGGGTGTCCTTAACCAATTTCCATATAACTTGCAAGGAGTTAACTCTTTTAGCCTCTTGTTTTGGTTTTGTTTTAGCCAGCTTTCTCCTTTTTCAGACAGTTGTCGTTTCTGAAATCGGTCTCACAGACAGTGGATTTTTTCAGTTTTTACTGTTCCTGCAGCAATGCTGACCACAGCGTTGTGGTCATTGCTGCAGTGCATCTTACTCCTAACCAAGGCCAGAGCTGCTTCTTTGGTGGGTTGCTAACTGGCTGATCCATGGAGCATTTAGACCCTGCATTGCTTCCTAGTATGACTTTAATCCAATTTTCATGTGAGAGGCTGGATTCTCCCTTTACGATTGTGTTTTCTCCTTTCTCTGCCCCTCTGATTGCCTTTTGCAGGTCACATGTTTGTGAAGTTCTCGTCATGAAAATAACAGCCTGAAAGGGGTCAAACCTGTCTGAAAGGTATCCGAATACCATGGCCCCCATCGTAACGCCAATGAAGAAAAAGGTTGCAGTTGCCTGGTTCAGTCCACGCTGCTCGCACACAAGGTCCCACTGAAACACAAGGTCAAAATGACACTTAGTGCCCAGTTGCCTTTTCACACCCCTTCCCTCAAGTGGTCAGTCATTGTGTCTTGCAATTTATATCGGCCAAATCTGATTGAGGGGTAGAATCCTGCACTAAATTGCACATAGGACAGTGCTGTTTACACGTAAAGCTTTATCTTACAAAAAGTAAAAATGTAAAGCTGCATCTTACAAAACTCAGAGGCCTCCCAGTTATCTATCCCCACTGTGACAGCCTCTCTGTGGATACTTACTGGGCATCAGAAAGCCTTCCTGGGTACCACTCACCATGGAGAGATCCCCTTTTTCCTCTCCTGACCCCTGTGATAGCTGCTCTCAACCTGCTTGGGTGCATGTCTTCCCTCGCTCCTTCTGTCATGCTTCTGGGATTACCTTGGTGAGATGGGCGTTTGCACAGTGCTGCACTGCAGTGAGCTTAAGACATGCCTCAACCTTCATTAGGGAATGTCGTGTTGATATCCAGTTACTGTTGCCCTGAGCAGTTTCCTTTGAAGTTGTCTGCACAGGGAGGAAGGAGGGCAGAGGGGGAGTCAGACCAAATACTTGCTCCTGTTGCTAACTTACAGATTTCTTACCGAGAAGTTGGATAGACATTCTTCCTAATTAAGTTTATGAGCATCATTTTACTTTCTTGGAGGTGCAGATGTTGCTAATCATTACAGAATGCTTGCCCAAGCTGCAGAGTTAATTTTTTATATGAGCAAATTTGGCAAAACTTAATTTAATCATCAGCCCAGCCTCGCAGCCTCTCTGACAAGGCCAAACAGACCTTGAGCAACCTTTCATGCTGCAAGAGCAAAAAAATCCAGAGAAAGCCCCGGCACCTTGAACATGTCCCGAGGCCATTGCACCCTGGGTTCAGCATCACGAGGCTCCATGCTCGGCATCTGTGCTGCAGAGCACATCCCCTGCCTTTTCCCCCAAGGGTGCTTTACACCTTTCTCCCTGAAACAGTGCAGAAATGAGGTACAGACCTAGTGCATATCTGACCCTCACCTCCGTGCCTGCCAAAATCAGGGGTGGTTGGGTGGTGGGGAGGAGGCATCAGCTCTAGGTTAAGACTTGGCCCTGCTCTTACTGAGACAGTCAGCTACTATCATTCCAAATCCAACCATGCCCCTTTTGTCCCCTTCACTAAGACCTCCTGTGCTTTGCCACCTTTCAAGGAAGGTAAAGCATTAACACCCAGAGGTATCACTGTTAGCCTTAGCAAAGCGTTTCAGAAGGCAGGTGGTTAATGTTTGATGGGCAGGGACCTTGGGCAGGCTCAAGGTTATGGCTGGCCAGCATGCTGCATCTCAGCAGGAGGCCCTTGGAGAGCACATTTAGCTTGACAGCAGGGGACACTGGTGGTAAGAGAAGAGAGGCAGCACGATTTTGGGGAGAAGAGGGGGAAGCTAGAGATCAGTGAGGAGGGGTGGCCAAGGGAATAGAAGTCACAACGTGTTTGGAAAATCAAGAAAGCAAGTCATGGGCTCATATGAAATCTTGATACGGTGTAATCCTGTGCAAATGCCATGTGGCCCAAGCAGAGAAAATCCTATATGTGTGTCTTCCCCCTGCCCCTTCCAACTTCTCAATCACCTGGAGAAATTAAGATGCTTATAACGAGAAATGTTGGCTTCTAACTATCAGTCTAAGCAAGATGCTCGTAATAATAATAATAAATGTTGGCTTCTAACTCTGAGCTTCAGAGAGTTCCCCCATCCCAGGAAATCTTCTCTAAACAAGTAATTTCCACTGGTTAAAATGCAAAGATTCCCCTCTGACTCTGTGCACCCAGCGAACACTTCTCTATCTGCTCCTCAAAACACTGAGCTAATTTGATTTTTGGCTACATCACAGGCACGGTGTTACCTCAGTGGAGATGGTGGAGGTGAACTGTGAGTGGTCATAGACCCATCCGTGCTGGCAGTGCTGGATGGAGTTGTTTTCTGGTTGCAGAGAGGAATTGAGCAGCAGGTGAAACTGAGGCTGCGAGAACATCTCACAGGACCTGAAAGTGCCGTCGGGCTCCTGGGGGATGCTGATGAGCAGAACTTCCTCCATGGTGAGGTTCACAAATGCCTCTTGGTGTGGAATTGCACAGTGATGAGAGGGGGTAGCAGCAAGAAAATTGTGCAGCAGGAAATGCATGGGAAGGTTGATTCTTGGGAGGCAGAGGATAAACAAAATCAAAATCTGGAATCTGCCAAAGCCACCAATTTCCAGCAAGAGATCCTCAAATTTCATCTTTTCTATGGAGTTTGCTCATTCAGAGCAGCTATGTACCAAGAAGCAGCAACATGAGCTTGAAAAGCAGTCTCTGTCCTTGGAGCTCAGCTTCCCATGGCTTTTCATACAGCCACTTCGTTGGACTTTGAGACCTTGCTGAAAGGTTGTCAAAAGTCACAGTGAAACTCTCCATTTGGGGTAGAGCCAAAGAAATTACCGTGTGTGCACACAACACATCCATTTCAAGTGGACCCAGCAGAAGGCGCCTTCTCCTTTTAGTCCTTTTCTCCTGTTGTGGTATTTGAGAGGGAAATCCACATTAGGAAAGGAGGCTGTGGGAAGAGTTCTTGTGAAAGGGCTGTCATTTCTAGTGTGGGAGTACCATGCAGTGTCTCAGGCGCTGCAACAAACTCTGTCTAGTGTGAGCTGATCACCAGCCAGCCCAGTTGGATCATAAAACAGGCCCCCAGGAGAGCGGGGGTGACCCATTGTGTAAGGATGCCCAGGGGCACCAAAGCCTGGTTGCTGTGCATCAGCTAAGTGTTTTTTAGTAATGGCTTGTGTCAAGTCATGACCTGGGAGCAGGGATTATGGAGAGGGGGAGAGGGTGCCCAGAAGAGAAGAGAGATGAGTCTCTGGATGGATGCAAACAAGGAGGTGAGCACTCTGGGGAGAAAGGGTGGGCTGCAAGTGAGGGGCACCTGCTCACCAGTGTCCTCCGAAGGATGAAAAAAGTGAAAATTTTCTCCACAAAGTCCCTTTCTCCACCTGGGACACCCTTTCCCAGGACACATGCAAGGAAGTGATGAGAGCTGCAGTGCTGGCACACAGAGAGGCTGCGACTGCCATGTGAGGGGCCATGACATACTCCTGCAAGGTCACAGCTACGTGCTGGTGTGCTCTGGGGACCGATGCGACAGCCAAAGGCATGAGTGTGCAGCCCCTGACAGGGCCACAGGTACTGCTGCCACCGCTGCACAGGCCTTGCACCATGGTTCTTCCATTGCCCGCTTCAGGGAGTGGTTTCCTGGAAGAGGTGGGTCTTTAATATGAATTTCCACTCTTCTTATGCGCTCAACAAAGAAAATGAGCTCTTTATTCAGCCGGAGCCACTGCAGAACAAGAATGGACGGCACATCTGAGAGGCTGAAAGGTGGCTGGTCATCAAAGGTGTGTAACACGCAGTTATATATCACATGGCTGCTGGGCAAAATCTTTAACCCCAGGGTGGCAGGGAGCAGAAAAATTGCTGAATTTTTGGAAGAGTTATAGAAACAATGCCTGGAAAATGCAGCAACTGGGGAGATGTGGCATCAGAGCTGGCACAGGTTGGTTCACACAACCAACATGGTTCAAAGAAAAGTCCCTAGTTCATGAGCCAGGAACAAAAAAATCCAGCGGAAGTGGCAGCTCCAGGTACCACAGGCCTGCCAAAATTGCCAGGAGGTGTACAAACTCTTCTATGGCCCGCAGAGACCTGGCTGGAGGATGACTGGCACTTCAAGACAAGATAGACACAACTCCCTGCCCCACAACTGAGCAAGCTTAGGAAAAGGGATGAGATTAGGGCAGTTAAACTGGAAGCAGCGGGAGAAGGGTCTCTACCCTGACTGTGTCTGGAGAGCCTGCAGGATCCTTTCCTGCAAGTCCCTTAACACCCTTGCCACGTCTGGGTACAAGACATGGGCACGATTCTCTTGCAGCGAGTGCTCTGGACAGGCTGGACCCATGGGGCAGCCCCTGGGGATAACGCATCCCAGATGGTCACGTCCTGACAGGTTCAGGGAGCAGTGCATCACGCAGCAAGCAGGGGCAGCACCCCGTTACCTGTTCAAAGGTTACAACCCCTTTGCACGGTGCACGTGAAGCAGCACAGTTACTGACAGCTTGCTATAGGTTATCTCCTGCTGCATCTTCACATTCTGTACCTCTCTCCTCACAGTCTACGTCCTCCCTCCTCCACCAACCCTGCAGTCTTGAGCATTTGTGGATGCTGATGCATCATCCCGAACCTTTTTCCAAGCTGTTGTCCTGGGACATGCTTTGCTTTAAAGCAGCTCTAGTTTGGCTATCCACCTAGAAAGCGGTGACGTTTGGTGTCGGGATGCAGGCACGTCAAGAGGCTGAGCACAGATAAAATGCAAGTGCTGCCTGCTGCCAGGCGCTGCTGAGGTCTGCCTGTCTGCACTGCCTCAGCCAGTGACTGCCTGCCCCAGTCCCTGCAGCAGAGGGCTAGCGAGAAAGGGCTGTAGAGCAACAAGTAGAGATGAGAAGGTCCGAAAAAGCTTTTTGTAAGGCCTCCTGCTGTGGCTGAATGCTCAGACTGAATGTTGCCCAGATATTAAATGCTGCAAGGGCGCAAAGCACACTGAGCAAGACAACACCATGGGCTCACGCTTACAAGGCAAAGGACGCCATGCTTGTGACCTTAGATCTTTGCTCTTTTCAGCAGCATTCCTGGTCGCCCGTGTTTAACTAATGCGCTGCCCCAGTCTTTGCTGCAAACCATTTCAGTGCTCATCCTGGGACAAGCATGAAGGAAGCATACAGGCGTGAAGCAGGGACATCTGACAATGCTGTGCCCCCAGGGTTGCAGTTTAAGCTGAAGCTGAACTAAAGGACAAATTGTTTTTCTTCACCACTGGTCTTCTAACAGCAAGGAACAGGAACTCTTATTGATATGCTGTTGCATATTTAAACTGCAAAGCAGCTCCAGCCTCCCCATCAGAAATGAGGTTATGGGTCATTGCTCTGCAACTCCTGGGGCTCTGCTGTTCATACTGCAATTGCTTAAAATGTACATCGTTGATTGCTGTATTTCTCTAACCCAAATGTGTTCTTTTAACCAGTCACCAGGTTTAGTTAATGACCACCATGTGTGCAAACCCAGTGACTGACTATGCCCTACCACTTGGTTAATTAGACCCAGGACCTGACTCAAATGGCTTGGACTTGCCCAGCAGTGGTGAGAGCGGGTGGACTCCTCTGATGCTGCTTTCACATATAAAGCTGGAAAGAAGAGTTTACTTTTTGTCATGGTTTACCCCCAGCCAGCAACTAAGCACCACACAGCTGCTCGCTCACTCCCCTGTGGTGGGATGGGGGAGAGAATCAGAAGAGTGTAAGTAAGAAAAAATCTGGGTTGAGATAAAGACAGTTTAATAGCCAAAGCAAAAGCCGCGCACGCAAGCAAAGCAAAACAAGGAATTCATTCACCACTTCCTATCGGCAGGCAGGTGTTCAGCCATCTCCAGGAAAGCAGGGCTCCATCATGCGTAATGGTTACTTGGGAAGACAAATGCCATCACTCCGAACATTCCTTCTTCTTCCCCCAGCTTTATGTGCTGAGCATGATGTCATATGGTATGCAATATCCCTTTGGCCAGTTGGGTCAGCTGTCCTGGCTATGCTCCCTCCCAGCTTCTTGTGCACCTGACAGAGCATGGGAAGCTGAAAAGTCCTTGACTATGTAAGCACTACTTAGCAACAACTAAACCATGAGTGTGTTATCAACATTATTCTCATACTAATTCCAAAACATAGCACTATACCAGCTACTAGGAAGAAAATTAACTCTATCCCAGCCAAAACCAGGACACCTTTTTACTTCACGTGTACAATTTTCTTCTGCAATCTTTCTTTATTCTCCTTGTTGGGATGCCAACTACTCATCAAGAGGGAAGATTATTAAATGACTCAGTCACTAATGTGCTGCCTTTTCTGTTTCCAGCAGTAATTTCATAACAGGTTATGTGGAGCTGTAATAGGAGGGTGAAACTAGCGAGGAAGTTGATTTGCTCCTTTAGCAATTAAAGCCACCCCACGGATATCTCAACTGCTGCAGAGTAGCTGGAGATCTGATTGGTTGTTGCAGGTTGGTGCTTAAATGGTATTTTTCTCCTATGGGAAAGCTGCAGATCCTGAAATCCTCCCTCCCCTCCGAGTTATACCTGACTGCCATGAAAATACATGTCCATCAGAGCCAATGAGCTAGACTAACCTTGCTCTCAGAGGGCAGAGTTGTCCCCATCTAACTGCATCTCATCGCAGACTGGGATGCCTGCAGGAGGGAGATGCACCACACACAGGGAGTCTCCATTTTTTCTGTCATTTGCAAAGGCTGTTTGGACAGTGAGGTCCTACAAAGTTGGCCAAAGTCAGCTGAGGATGCCTGCAGTATCAATCTAAGGTGCACCATACTGCAGCGGTGTGTCCAAATGCTCTTGGCAGGACATGTGTGCACCAGATTTTGTAGCTTAGTTGGAGAAAGTGGAGGAGCAGCCAACAAAGAGGTCCCGGCGCTCCTGAGGATCTTTGTTTGGTGTTAGAAGAAAGTGACTTTATGCCATTCTGACTTGGTGCCATATTAACAAGACTCCTGTACTTTCCATTACTTGCACTTGTCTTGTGTGCAGCCATTTTACTCGGTTACACAAATGACAACTATTTTGTAAGTAAACTGGTTCTGGCCAAAGCTTCTTTTCTTGCCTATCAGAAATACGAACATTGATCCTGCTTTCATGTGAAACAACGTGAACCACTTCCACGTCTTCTGCCACATGTAATTATGGGTCCACAGCCAGCATTCGCATCCTGTCTGCTCCCTTGCCAGACCCTGCAGACCTGTCTTGTGCCCTTTCCTACAGTGATCTTATGGAACTATTTTCTTTACATTTTCATCTCACCATGCTGTTGGGAAACTGTAGCAGGGCAGAGATTCAGTCCAAATTATTAGGCTGCATTTTACTGAGGGAAGGGCAAACCCAAACTACTCCTTCAGCCAGGGAAAGAAAGACACAGCAGGAA